TTTTTCAAAAACACAAATTTTTGCTAACACCGAAACAAAATTTTCCGGCTGAAAAACGCACAAAAATTATGTTATAATTAGCCCAGTTTAGTAATTTTATAGTCCCTTTCTGATTTTTTTTTAAAAATTAGTTTTTAGTGCTCAAACTCTTAAAAAATCCAAAAAAAAACAACGGTTTTGGTGTGATTTAGTGACTTGTTTTTGACAAAACTTTACGAAATAATTGCGGTTGTGGCTCAAAAAAAAAATAAAAAAACGTGTTTTTAGTTCAAAAACAAGCTTGTTTAAACAAACACCGTTATAATTGGAATCTCATGTTTTTTTGGCTTATTTTCGAGAATGAGCAAAAAATTATGTTTCTGGTTAGAAAACTCACAAAATTTTGCAAAATGATTAAATTTCTGATTAAAAAACGCACTGAAACTTTTGAAAAAAGCAAAATTTATATCGTTGTTGACCTATTTTGCAGTTCTTTTTAGCAAAACCTAAAAAAAATTATTTTCAGCTCAAAAACCAACTTACAAAATCAAACAAAGAGAAAAAACCTTGTTTTAATTGGAGTCGGAGAATTTTTTGGCTTTTTTGGAGAATGAACAAAAAATTATTATTCTGGCTAGAAAACTCACTAAAGTCTTTTTTTATTTCATTTTTTTGACGTAATTTTTGACCATTTGAGCTCAAAAATTTGGTTAAACGATTAAAAAAGGCTAAAAAATTGCATTTTTGCCGAAATTTAGTGATCTTTAACTTGATTTTGATGAAATTTTGCAAAGTAGGTAACTGCCTTTCTAGCTGAAAAACGCACTACAACTCTTAAAAAGCTAAAAGAAAAAAAATATAATTTTTGTCAAAATTTCAGAAATTTTTGACATTTCTGGCTAAAAAACTCACTAAGGCTTTCAAGAAAGGCAAAAATTTTGTCATGTTTGACCAAACTTAGTTATTTTAGCACAATTTTCCGAGAATAATTAGTTTTTCTTAACTTAAAAACGTCTTAAGCGCTCAAAACAATATCGTTTTTGTCATAATTTTTGAATTTTTACCTTAATTTTGACTTAACTTTGTTAAATAATTGCATTTCTCTCCGAAACACGTACTAAAAGTTTAGAATCCAAGCAAAAATAGTATTATTTTACATCTAATTTAGTGATTTTTATACTGTTTTGACGGAATTTTGCAAAAATATAGAATTTTTAGCACAAAAACGTGTTTAAATGCTCGAAAGGCCTAAAAATGATGACATTTACGTTCTCATTTTGGTAATTTTTTGGTGGTTTATTGTGAAAATATTTCACGAAATAGTTGTGTTTTAGGCTGCACAACGTGCCAAAATACTCGAAAAAAAAATGCAAAAACTGAAATTTTTTACTTGAACACTTACTTTGCTTTCACAATTTTTGATAACATATTAACGAAAAATTAGTTCAGTTATGACACTGACAAGAAAGAAGATTTTCCGTTTGTGCAACTTGAAAAAAAAACACAAATCTTTATCCTCCTCCTTATCCAAAAACGTCGTAATTTCTTCCCAAGGAAGTATTTTTGTTTAAATCCTTGCCTTTAGTGTGTGAAACCAGAAAGAAAGTGATTTGTTTCTTCCCTTGTTACGCAAATAGCAATTTTTACCTGGCTTTATATTGATTGTTAGCATTTTTTCCTCCCTTCTTCTCTGTCCATTCCCCTCAACGACGTTTCTTGAAATTTTGATATTTTTCGTACACCCGTGCAAAATATCCTCGAGACACACATTCAAATCGTACTCAATCGGGGGGTCCTGAGCCTTGGAGATCATCCCCGTAAACAGGGTAAAAGTGTCGCTAAAGCCCCCTTCCTCAAACTCGAACAAATTCTGGAAGGGGTCCGCACTCCCGAAAAACTGCGCAAAAGTAGCCCTCGGGTCCCCATGAAACGTATAAGTGAACCCCGAGGGCCCCCCTCCCGGCACGCCCCCTTTCAACCCCTCCTCACCATACGCGTCATAAACATCGCGTTTTTTCTTATCAGATAACACCTCATACGCTTCTGCGATCTCTTTGAACTTTTCTTCGGCCCCTGGCGACTTGTTTTTGTCGGGGTGGTACTGGAGGGCGAGTTTTCTGTATGCCTTTTTGATTTCATCATCGGACGCGTTTTTGTTTATACCAAGAATTTTGTAAAAGTCACGGCCCATATTTTTTTTGACAAGAATTTTATTGTGACGTTTCAAAAAAAGTCTGAAAAAATACCGTTTTCTTCGTGAATTTTTAGCTTATTTTGACTAAACTTTCTCACATAATTGAGTTTCTGGCTGAAAAACGCACTAAAACTTTCAACAAAAGGCAAAAATTATGTTATTATTGGTATTTGATTTTTTTGAAAAACTGAGTTTTTAGTGCATAAAACCACTCAAACTCTCAAAAAATTCAAAAATAACACCGGTTTTTTGTGATTTGGTAATATTTTTTATTTTTAAGATTTTTGAAATTAAAAAAATTTATGTACTTTTTGACTTAATTTAGTAATTTTACGATCTGTTTAAGGTGCTTAAACAAGCAAAAAACTGAGTTTTTGCTCAAAAGCTTGCTTAAATGTTTGAAAATCTCAAAAATTACCAGAAAATGACTAGAAAACGCACTACAACTTTCCAAAAATTTGGAAAATTTAATGAAATTTTGCAAACTAATTGGGTTTCTGACTGAAAAACGCACTAAAACTTTTAAAAAGAGCAAAAATCATGTATTATTGGCCTAATTTTGAAATTGATGGCCCCTATTTGAGTTTTTTTTTGAAAAACTGAGTTTTTAGTGCATAAAACTACTCAAACTCTCGAGAAATCCAAAAACAACACCGGTTTTGGTGTAAATTGGTGATGTTTACCCTATTTTTTACAAAACTTTGCAAAATAATTGCGGTTGTGGCTTAAACAGATAAACACTCAAAAAAGACAAAAAATTTGACCTAAAATAGTGACTTGAGCAGAATTTTTCGGAAAACCGATTTTTTCCTTAAACACTTGCTTAAATGTTTAAAAAACTAAAACAAAACAATATTTTTTTTAATCTTTGACGTAATAGTGACAATTTTTATCTGAAAAAATATCGTTTTCTTCGTGAATTTTTAGTTTATTTTGACTAAACTTTACAAAATAATTGCATTTCTGGATGAAACACAAAAGTCTCGAATCCAAGCAAAAAGACTATTATTTTAGATCTAATTTATGATTTTTTGGACTGTTTTAACGAAATTTTGCAAA